TAAAGGCAGATCATTGTTACCAAAATCCCAGAAGGTGACATATTCTCTACATTTTTCCAAATAAAATAACTCAGTTATGGTTGTGGAAAATAAACAGCCAGCCATGAACACTCACATCCACAGAGATGGAAAATAAACATGACTGAGAAAGTCTGCTGCTTGTGCATAGTTCAGTTGTGAATAAAACTCCAGGCCCTAGCCTCAGTAGCAGGCACCAAAAAGAAGTTAATATTGGAAAAGTGCTTCTGTAAACTCAAATTTGCTTTGAATTTCTAGGTCACTGGAGGACAAACCTGAGTGTATTTCTCAAAGGGAGAGAACGCTATGGGCATTTAGGGCACGACAATTCTTCCCTGCACGGTTTTGTGCTGTTACAAGTTCTGAGATGCTCAGGGGCCTTGGCTCCACCCAATGAGGGGAATACAGACCGCTTCAGGGATGCAGCATGCTCGGCAACCAACTACAGCCTGGCATCCTCTCCCTGGTTGGGGGGGGGAGGGGCGGTCAGTGCCAATGGGATGGGAACCCAGAATATAAATTAAGTTTAGTTGCAAGAAAATAAATCGACATTTCTTACAAGGTTGTGGCTGGAGCTTGGTACTCATTAACTCCTATCTGGTGGGAAGCATTCAGGCTGGAGAGTGGGGCTGCCATGGGCAAATGTGTAACACCTAAGGGAATGCCAGTCATATCATACACACTGTAGATTTGTATGTTTATGAAACAATTTTACCACTGATGAATGTATCTTGAGAGAGAGACACCTTTCCTAATTTGGACAATGATGCCATAAAGACTAGAGGTGGCCCTGACAGGGATTTTGAAGACCTTGGGATCTATGCTTTTATTAGATGTCACTGGATCGCTATGCACCGTCCCCCCACCTTTCATACGGGGATAATGCAAACCTATTGTAGGACTGGTCAGATGGCTGGCTGAAAAGAAGATAAGCACTAAGAAGAAAATGAATCCTATCATTAAGAGCTTGTTTATTTCTCCTGGGCACTTGAGATAATGTCTTTGAAAGCAGTTTGAAAAGTCTGAAGTACTGTAACAATGGTAATTGCAGAATTAACTGCTAAAAGAGCTGCCCGCTAGAATGCAAGCTCCAAGAGGCCAGGGAGTTTTGTATCCTCAGTGCCTAGAATAGTGCCTGGTATATAATTGGTCCTTAATAAATAGATGATGTATTAATAGATGAAAGAAAAGAGGACTCATTGACATTTGAACTCTTGGTGTTTTTTTTTTTAAAGATTTTATTTATTTATTTGAGAGAGAGAGAATGAGAGATAGAGAGCATGAGAGGGAAGAGGGTCAGAGGGAGATGCAGACTCCCTGCTGAGCAGGGAGCCCGACATGGGACTCGATCCCGGGACTCCAGGATCATGACCTTAGCCGAAGGCAATCGCTTAACCAATTGAGCCACCCAGGCGCCCCAGAATTCTTGGTGTTTTTAATAGAGTTGTAAGGTTGACGTGGGTCTCGCGCTTTTCTCTGTATTTTCTCAACTCAAGCAGTGATCTTACAAAGGAGACATAAGTTGTAGTGCAGTTAAAGATTATATATGCACGTAGAGGTGCTCAACAAATGGTTAATTTTTTTATAGGGAGGCAAATTATGGTGGTGGCAAGAATATAAGCTTTGGGGTAGGACTAATCTGGATTTGAACTGACTGGACAAATTTCGATGGGCCTCAGCTTTTTCCCATGTAATATGGGATAAACATCTTAGCATACAGGACTGCTATAGGGATTAAATGAGAAAATGTATGTAAACCACTTAATGCAATGCCTGGTACATAGGAAGTATATATAGGAGCTATTATCCCAATATATAATTTTCACTTTACTTAGCACATCTCCTTCCTCTGAAGGTAGATTTCAGGACATAGTAATAGACTGTATATTATATATACCAGGCACATGCTACCTCAGGATCTTTGATTAGATCTGGAATGTTTTTCCAGCAGATGTCCATTTTCTTCCAGTGAATCTCCTCAGATTTACCTTCTCAAAGTAGGCTACACAGGATTTCCCATTCATAATTCACAAGTCCATCCCCCCTACCCTGCTCAGTTTTTTCCCCCCAACACCTATCACCTTTTAACCTACTACTTTCTGTGCCGTTTATTTTTATTCTGTGAGTACAGAATATAAAGAATATAAATTCCAGAACAGGGATTTTTGTCTGTTTTGTTCACCAACACCTTAATGTCTAGATCAGTGCCTGACACAAGGTAGGCACTCAATAAATATTTGTAAAACTGAATTGTTGGTTTGAATATATTCCCACTGAATTTTATGCTTTTTAGTTTGGACCCATTATTTAGTTCGTCAGCATGATTTTGAGAAATGATTACCTGCTTTCATCCTGCATTTTCCGCGTGGCCCATTACCCACATTCCATGCAACCAGCCACACCAGGGAAAACTCCAGGCCTCCAACCCTGTTCAATAACTAGCTGTATGAACCTTGGAAGTTTACTTAGCCTCTCTGTGTTTTGTTTGCATCACTTATAAATGAAGATAAAAACCATCTTCCCTCCACAAAATCTTAGGAGTGATTCAATGAGCCAATGCACATGAAGAGCTTACCGCAGTGCCTGGCACACAATCAATATTAGCTATTGTGATTCTATTTACAGCCAAATCCAGGACCCTATTGCTCCCTGTTGGGGTATTCATCCTCTCTTACCTCTTCTTTCATTTCCCATCAGATCAGAAACGATGCTGTCTCTTCAGTTTCAACTCTCCTCTTTCTTCCATTAAGCCTTTTTTTTTTTTTTTAAGCATTTGCTATTAGACCCAAATTATTTTTGGGATCTCCAGGTAACTCTGTGACTAACCTGTGCCTGGGCTAAAGCTTTCAGGTTTCAGCACTGTGGGTCTAAGAAAAATCCCCATGGGAACAGGGGGGGAACTTTTCCTTACAAGTCGCTTTATTCAGTGTTAATCCAAAACCATTTTATTTTTATTTTTTTAAGATTTTATTTATTTATTTGTCAGAGAAAGAGAGAGCACAAGCAGGGGGAGTGGCAGGCAGAGGGAGAAGAAGCAGGCTCTGCACTGAGCAGGGAGACTGATGGGGGACTCGATCTCAGGACGCTGAGATCATGACCTGAGCCAAAGGCAGCCACCTAACTGACTGAGCCACCCAGGTGGGGTGGCTTTGGGGGCAAAGCTATTTTAATACTATCATTTATCACCAATAATCTACCTCATTTCATTTAAGGATGCTTTTCTTTTAGGGAGTGGTTAGGAGCAGAGGGAGAGAGAGAACCTTAAGCAAGCAAGCTGCATGCCCAGCGTGGAGCCAGAAGCGGGGCTCGAGCTCAGGAACCTGAGATCATGACCTGAGCCTAAACCAAGAGTTGGACACTTAACCAATTGCATCACCCAGGCACCCCTGTTTTTAGTTTCTAAACAATGTGGCCCTCCTTAACATCTTGAGTTATACTATTTTAAAGAGAAAATAATTTCAAGTCTTCTAAAACAATTTTTTTTTGCCTTGAAACTAATGTAGAGATCCCTAATATGTGTATGCTCTCTGAACTTATTCTGATGCCAGAGGAGAAGAAAATAGCCTATTCCCTGGAAAAGCTATGCTATCCTAACTTGGACAGTGTAAAATCTGCCCTACCTCACACTACTAGTCTCAGGAAAAGGAGGCTGCCAGCAAACTTGGCTAAAGGTGCGGAGGTAAGAGGTCCAAAGGATTAAATTTCCAGCTCCCAAAATAACCTCTGAGTACTCCTGTCACCTCAAATCAGGTCCTGCATGCTTCTTCATGCTGGAAGAGTGCCACCTCTCTGGCCCAATCCCAGGAGGCCCTGTGGAGCCCTGGATGGCCATCTGTCTCCAGAGGACAGCCCCCTAGAGAAGCTGGGGAGCCCACTGTATTAAAGGTAGACATACAAGGTGCATCTTCTCTCTTCCTATACTCTCATCATTCTTCTCTTTCTTTAACGTCCTCTCTTCTACCTTCTCCCCCACCTGCCTTTAGACTGATAGAAGGCCTCAGGACAGAGTTTTCCAAAACTTATTAATATGAGTACCACTGTCACGTATCCTTCCCCCGCACCATATCCAAATCCCACCTGTACTATTTCCGTAAATTAGCTCACTTTTTCACTTACATTTGTAAAGACTAGTTATTGATGTATAGCACTGCTCTAAATTTAAAACAATTTTCACTTGCCATAAACAGAAGGCTCACGCATAAATATAATTAAAACAAAACTATATAGTAATGGAATTTTAGTTGGATACGGTGCAGGCCTTGTGTCTGAGTCCTACTCTATTAGGTTAAGGAATGCTGGAGAAGTGTTGAAGACGGACTGGCATCAAAGTGAGACTTCTTCCTTGAAATGGAGACTGGAAAGAGGACCAAAAAGAGAGCAACTTGCTCATCTTGTTTTTAAAGATCATGTCTACATAAAACTTAAGCATTCTCACTTTGGGAAATATTGCTTTGAATTTTAGACTCACATAAGGCAAAGAAGTTTGTGAAATTTTATAAGCCTCATTTCCTTCAAGCAAGCACTGAGTACATTATTAACTGTACTCAAAAACTTGTTGCACATTTATTCTCAGTATTTGTGCACAGCTTTTGACCAACTATCACGGAAGTGTTTTGGATATAAGACTCTTTCCCGTGGATCACAAAATGCGACCTATGAATGGATCTTTGGAAGCCATCTAGCCCAAATCTTGGCCCATTTCCATTTTCCCGAAAAGAGAGTTGGGGTTTGAGGCCGAGGGCGATTTGCCCAAGGTCACGCAGAAGGTGGTCTAATTTTTGTCTTCCTGCAGCCCCGGGAAAAAGCTATCTCCTCCCTCAGAAGGCTTCGTCGCCTGGCTGGCAGGAAGCCAGACTTCTCGCCTCCACTCTGTTGACCGCAGTTGCCATGGCAGCGGCGCTTTTTTCCCCGCCTCGTCTTCGTGACGCCAGGAGACCAGCGCCCAATGGGAAAGCAGCTCGGCGTCACGCACCGCCTTTCGCGGCGGGCACCGCCTTCGGCGCCGGGCGAGGAGCGTTGACTGCGTGGGGAAGGCTGGCTCCGGTCGCGGCCGCGGCGAGTTACATCGTTTTCCAATCTGCCCGCGTCCGCCGCCGCCCGGGACAGAGCCACGATGTTCGGGATGCTGAGCAGCAGCTTTGAGGATGATCCCTTCTTCTCGTGAGTGTCGGGGGAGGGGAGCCCGCGGTCGCGCGGGAGTTCAGGGATCTTGAAGGGAGCTATTTTAAGGGAAAAGTGCGAGAAAACTGTGAGGAAGGCGAGGGGGAATTTGAGTAACTTCAGGAGGGGGCTTGGGGGAGAAGAGGACTCGAGGGCGTGAGAGGGATGGGAGGGGAGAACTTAGGGATGGGGGAGGGAGGGGAGAGAAGGATTGGGGGGTTGAGGGAGAGGAAGATTTAGGGGTGTGGGAGGGAGGGGAGAAGCATTGGGGAGCGCTGGGGAGAAGAATTGGGGACGTGGGAGGGAGGGGAGAGAAGGATTTGGGACCGTGAGGTGGGGAGAGGTGCGAGCCGGCCCCCCGCACACAAACCCGAGGGGCCGCTGCTCTCGACTTGGCCGGACTTCGGGGGTCCGGGTTGGTTCCCGCGCTCGGAGGCCCGCCTTCGCAGCCGCAGAGCCTTGCAGGTGACGGTAACTGCCCTCTAGGTGGAACTTCTGGGGAGAAATACGCTTAGGGGACCCTTTCCACACCCGTTTCAGTTCCAGATGAGAGGCAGGGAATGTCTTCTAAGATGACAACTGTTTGGAAAGGAACACATTTTTTCAAACAGCGTTCTAATAAATACGCACTTCTGAGAGCACAGCAAAGTTGGAGAGTTGTGCTGTCACGTCGAAGTGGTTGGAGGTTGCCAGGTGCAGTTTGTTTTCTTTGCTTGCTTTGTTACAAAGCCAGTTCTGTTTGTAGAGGGACTCCTCTCTCAAAAGTGCAAATAGGGCAGGGAAGCAGAGAGTAGGTGCATTTAACACCTCAGGTAAACAAATGTCAAACCTGTGGACAGTTCCAAGTGAATTAACGTGATGCCTTAGGAAGAACGTATCCAGAACTTCATTAGTTGCTTCATTATAATCGAGTTTTCTTGTGGGGTGTGGGTGTTTTTTTTTCTTTTTTGGGGTTTTTGGGGGTCTTTTGTTTTTTTTAGTTCTTGCTTTGGCGATTATATAAAAATGATAACAAACTATTTGGATTCCTAAGACGGGAAGCTTTGTGATACTTTTTTGCCCAAGTGTTTTGCCAGTTTGAATTTTGACTTGGTGTCCTAATTTATTTTGATCGATTAAATTCTCCATCTCTGCAACTCCTAGACATTTTTTTAAAAAGTTTAAAATGTCAGCAGTTTTCTACATAGTATTGTTGTTTTTAAAGGAAAATCTTGCGTTGGCTTACATGTGTTAGTACTATTTTTAAACCAAATAACATAAAAGTAACAATTGAAAGGATAATTAGTGGTAAAAAGAGATGAAATGATTAATATAGAAGAATAAAATGATTAACATTTCATTCTAAAGTTTGTAAATTACAATTAAGGGGTGTATGGATTCAGGCAAAATTATTATGCTGTTTTAGTTAACTTGTTTAGGAGCTTTGGGGACGTTTACAATTAATGCCATTTTAACAAATTTTAAATTTTGTGCTGTATTCCGATTTGCTCTTTTAAAAGTCTCAGTAGGGATTAGTTGAGCTGTTGAAATGATTCTTATGTAATTGTGACATCACTACAGTGGGCAATAGTTAAGAATTCTTGATTATGACAACTTTTGAGTTGCATTATGTCCTCAATATATCAAAAACAGCAATGGCCTTAACTAAACTGTGAGAGTATAATTAGTACCTTTTTAAAAACGTCTAGCAAAAGTGTAATTTAAACTCTTGGGTAACCGTCTGAGCAAAGGCAATGAACCCAAGAGTCAGGATCAGAAATAGTAACAGACCACAAATAGTAGGCATACATCAAAGAACACTCTTCCCTGTGCTTAGGAGGGAAAGAACCGTCAGTTACATGTCAGTGGGTCTTTCAGTCATCACTCTTCATAGCCTTCTTCAAATGCAGACAGCCATGTCAGAAAAATTTAGGATAAAATTATTATAATTAACTTTATAAAACAGATGCATGCTTATAATTTCGTTGCTCCACAGTTAACTGTTTAGAGAGTAAACACAATGGTGGGGGGAGTAAGGAAGAAAGAGAATGTGTGTGTGTGTTTATTTCAAGTAATCTGTCATTTGACTAACCCCAAACAATGTGTATCCATGACTTAATATAAGTCCAACATAAGAAATTCTTAAAGGTTACAGACTCCTTATCAAATCATTCATTGACCTTAAAGAACACAGAAGGGTTCCATGCCCACCATCTTTTATATAAATATTAGCCCTATTGCTAACATAATGTGTCATTGGGTTCCTTTATTGCTAACTTAATACCTGACATGTAGAAAGTAATCAGTAAATATTGTTTAATGATAATCTCGTGTCCTTTACACTCTGCATTGTAGTTAATCTGGTATTTAGTTAATTGCTGAAAGTATTTGCACTCAACATATGCTATTGTTGATGTTGACACTTTCTAATTTGAACACTACCATTGTCTAAATAACCATTAGTTTAGTATATCAAGGATGTCAATATAAGCACACTCTACTAATTTACAAATTATTCTAAAGTGGGCAGACAAATACTTTTTGGATATAAAATTAGAATTATTAAATAATTTGAGACTGGTAAAATACTGTAATCAAATAGATGTTTAAAAGGTTTGAGTAAAAAAACCAATTTTAATGAAAATTAAAACCAAATGAATTCAAATATGTTCATTTTCAGTGTTTACTCTAAATGTTGTACCTCAAATGTTTCATCAGAAAATTAAAAGGAAACTTTAAAAGTGATATGTTGAAGTTTAGTATTTTATTGTATATTTAGAACTTTTTTTTTTGTACCTGATGTTGCAGAGCTGAAATTCAGTGAAAGTTGCCATACAATATACCCTCATATATACCTTCTTAAGTAAATAATACTTGTAATTTCGTTCAAGACACAAAAGCTAAAAGCTGGCACTTCTGGCATGCAGTTTACTCTCAAGAATACTACTTTCCCTTCCCATTTATATTTGCTTAAGAAGAAATAGAAATACATATGTATGGACAGGAAGATTAATTTGGGGTTCAAATGATTTTGACATCTATCCTATATCCTAAAAACATTGATTATGTAGTATAAAAGTTTACCTATATCTGGTACAGTCTAAACATTTCTACTTTGTGCAGAACATGAACTTTGAATCTTCTGACCTGCAGAAATGAAAGTCTGATCATGCAAGTCTACAGAGAATAGCTGTGTTACCACATATCAGTTATTAGATATTAAAGGCTCAGAAGCAGGTTGGCAAATCTGTCAGCCTTATTTTTAATTATAAATCGTTAGCATTTCCTTAAGGGCAACCTATGTATGATGACCAGTCTTTGGTCAAAGAACCCCTACATATATTCACAGGATGTTACTTTTCCATCTCTTTGCTCTTAGCAGGGGCTAAAAATTGCATATCTATAATCTTTTTAAATTAAAAAAAATTATTTTGCCCTTTGGAGGTAGTTCAAGGACACTGGCTTTGACTTATTCACTGACTGAGTTGAAAGTGAATATATGCCTTGTACAAGACAGGCCTTGTCTGATATTTTCTTGATTGAGAATGTTGTCATAAAACGGAATAAAATCACCTTTCTAAATAAGCTTTTGTGAACAATGAATGTTCGGGTTACTCACAAACTTGCTTTCAGACTTAAAGTCTGAGGTAGGGTCTTCCATCAAGATGACACAGTTTGGTGCTAATTAGTATTCTGCCACATAAACCTCCAATTTTAACCATTTAATAAAGGTGGCTTGAGAGTACTCAGCTAAAATTTAAGGTTTTGATTTTCAGGATTCCATTTTATGTTAAGACACCTAACAGCTTCTGTGACTTTTAGCACCTAGAAATTTGTTCTCAGAAATATTTTAATGTAGATGTTTCTTATAAATGAACTTTGCAGATTTCAAGATCATATTTGATAGAGTGAGGCACTAAGAATTTCTAAGGTAGACGTTTGGGGCTTTCTGTGGTTCAGTAGGTATATACCATTGAATTCAGAGCCAAGGAGCACAGCATGAGTATGACATAGTTGCTGGATCGAGGAATGCCATTTGGTAGCATCTAATCATATAATGCTTAGTTCTATCATTGAACGTTGTAAATATCCACAAAAAAGTAAGGAAGTGCTTATAGGATGAGAGGGGGCCATAGTCATTCCTACAACCCTTTTAATATAAAAGGCTTCTGCCACACCACAATTTTAAACTGTGCCTCTAAACAGTGGGGAAATAAAGAATTGCCTATGGAAATGTAATTCGTTCAAATATTTCTTAGGCTTCTATTATATTCCTAATGCTGTGGACTCTATTATAAATTTGTAGAAGTTATGGCCCATGCCCTCAAGATTCTCTTATGAATGTAATATGCATTATTTCTAGTGTCAAAACTTGGATCACCTAATGTATTTTCTTTATGGACCTTTACACCTCATTGGAACTAGAGAACATTGCTTTATGATCAAGAAAGCCATAACAATCTGCTGATAAGCTTTTTGTCACCACTATGTGTAATGGAAGGAAGGAATTTCTCTTGATGACTGGGACTGCCATGTCAATTATCTGAGACCCTTATGTATAAAGCATAAATTGCTTTTTACTGTATTGTACTGGCCAAATAAAATTGTAAGTGGTCAGTATATTTATATATTTGAGAGAGTCTTAAAAACAGGACCTTATTTGGAAATAAAGTTTACTATCTCTTAAAAAAAAAAACTTTTATGTTGAAATTATTCCCAATCTAAGAGTTAAGTTCTTTTTTTTTTTGGTAGTGGGGGGGCAAACTTTATTTTTCATAGCTTGTGATAGATAAATAATATGGAGTAGAAAAGATACCTTTGGTGCCAAATATCATTCCGTTTGGTTGTGGTTTGTGTCAGCAATCCTAAAAGAGATAGTATGGCTATCATAATAACATAAGTAAATTTTTTCTGATTTAAATGAAAATGCATCCTCATGGAAAATCTGAAAACTATAGAAAGTTTGGTAAAGGAAATCATGCAACCAAGATTTTATCATTTCAATGTATTTTGTTTCCACT